ATCTCAACAATATAAAATTGAAGTATTAGAAATGGCACTATACTATTATACAACACTTTCCTGTACTGTATTGAACAATATTAAATTAAATTAAGCCAGAGAAGGCATGAACTTCAGAAAAGGACAATACATTAACCGTACAAAAACTTAAATGAGTTTCAGGGAAGTATTACTGAAATTTTACGGTAGCGCTCGATTTTTCTCAAAAATTTTCAAAGTGCTCGGCACCGCGAAACATTTTTTTCGCTTTCGAAACATTTTTTGACGCTGAAAAACTATCAAATAGTATTATTGAACAGTATTTTAACACTTTTTGGGCAACAATATTTCATTGTGGATGTACAAACAGCCAAAAAAATTTAGCGCGCAAAATAACATTTTTTTAGGAGGTTTTTTATTTTGAACAGGTTAACTGGTTTTTTTTGTAGCGCGATGCGTTACTGTGCCGCGCCGAGCTGCCATGAATTGACATCGTCAAATATTAAGTTTTTAGTGTTTATTATATGTTATATTGGTATAAGCTAGTTCGGCAAATTAAAATGTATTTGAAACCAAAATATTTAAGCTTTTCTACTGAATTAATTTATTGAATTTTCTCAAAAACCACAAAAAATGGCAATTTTTGGGGCTAAAATGTAAATACCGAGTTTTTTAAAATTTATTAAAACCAGGTTAATTCCATAATCAATCATTTTAATTACTTAAATTACTTCCCACTATATTATGTGTCACAAATCAATTCAGAGGCCGAAAATACGTTTTTAAAGACATGTCTGATGTTTCTGGTCAGTCCCCGGTGTATCGAGCAAAAAATCCCCACTACATATAACTTGACATACGTTGCATGCCACTTTTCGCGCGCGAAGCGCAGTTTTTACTAACAACTAATTAGCCACATTGCATAGCAGGTTAGGTACACAATTATTATGTTTTTCGTGAAATTAAGCAGCTTTTTATTTTAATACACCTATTAAATGTCTTTTCATAGTTCACATAAATTCATATCTTTATATTAATAATTGACAATATATCGTTTTTCTTTATTATGTATTATTGAAGGCACTAATTGTAATTTGGTGCGCGGCGTGATACGGCGCGGCGTGCTCTGCTCTACTTCTGATGATAAGCTAAACTTAAAAACTGGGTTTTGTCACATATAAATTGTATCGCGCTTTCCAGTAAATTATTAACATATGGAGCGATATTTCTTTAACATACTGCATGCCCACTGTTCAGAACCAAATCCGTTTGCAAATCAGAACTGTGGTTACCAATTAAGATTTTTTAACAGTTTGCCAGGACGCTCTTTCACAATTCTTAAAACTTTTCAGGCTGTGTATGAATCAGCAATCCCTGCCGAGGAAATCACTTTAATTTATCTACTTTAATTTGAACAATATAGCTTTTCCGATGACTATTTAGTTGTGAGATGATTTAGTTTACGTGGGTTGAACTAACGTTTTGATCCTAGTAGAGAACAGCTTCTTATATAAGACAGCATCTTGTGTAGGATAGCATCTCGCACAGGACAACTTCGTGTGTAGGATAAAATCTCACACAGGACAACTTCGTGTCCAGGATAGAATCTCGCACAGGACAACTTCGTGTGTAGGATAGAATCTCGCACAGGACAACTCCGTTCGTAGGATAGAATCTCACACAGGACAACTTCGTGTGTAGGATAGAATCTCGCACAGGACAACTTCGTGTGTAGGATAGAATCTCGCACAGGACAACTTCGTGTGTAGGATAGAATCTCGCACAGGACAACTTCGTGTGTAGGATAGAATCTCGCACAGGACAACTCCGTTCGTAGGATAGAATCTCACACAGGACAACTTCGTGTGTATGATAGAATCTCGCACAGGACAACTTCGTGTGTAGGATAGAATCTCGCACAGGACAACTTCGTGTGTAGGATAGACTCTAGAGAAGGAAAACATAGCATGTGTTGAAAGGACCAACGCACGTTCGTGATGATATAGGTACAAATTGGCAGCGCTGCATTATCTATAATCTATATAAGTGACAACCTGGTAATACATCCTGTCATTTCCTCGCTTGGCGCTTCAAAACATCCCCCACGATATCCAAATATGGCCTTATGGGTAGGGAGGGGTATATAATGCAGTTGTTCAAGTAAATCTAAATTACGAGACATTTCAAAGGTATACGTATGAGTGTGTGTTGTCGTGGAGTGGTTTAGTAAGCCGGCCTCTTCGCATTGTCTACAAAATAACCACACCAAGTTGTCCTGTGTGAGATTCTATCCTACACACCAAGTTGTCCTGTCAGTGTTTTAACCGGGAATATAAGGAAACTGTAAGTCGAGCAGATGGATTTATTTGTACGCAATATCTATGTGTAAAGTTTCGCACGGAAGGGGGAAAAGGTCTTAGAATAGGTAATCTAGCTTACGTAACATGTAATATGTGGACGATCGCTTAGTTTAGAACAGACTCAAAAGAAACTGCAGATCCTGTCTGTCCTAAGTAACCAAGGAAACTACCGATTAGATCCTACACCTTAAAGATCAAACTAATGACATCGAAAACGTTATGTACACACTTTATTTCTAGTCTTGAATATGATACATAATTAAAGAATGTCCTTACTTATTAGATAAATGTCATTAAGGCTAAGCACCTCTGATTGGAAGCTCAATTCGTTAAATTACAATAAACTGAATTGTAAACATTTTATGTGTAAAGTTTAAAAATATTCCAGAAAAATGTAAGAGTAAATATACGTACTCCCGGCAATAATTTTTCTACTGAGTTCTTATACACTTTACAGTATATTCTTATTCAGATTACAGTCTATTCTTTAAACCGATCTTAAGATAAACAGTAACATTCCTTAGCCAACATCTACTCAATAATGAGTAAAATGGTACACATCAGGTATAGACTGTTGAATTGGAAGTGCTGCTAATTGCTAATGATTTCACGCCTCCCCGCAATGACAGAGCGCTTACGTTTACAAAGTACCTGACCACATTGTGACGCACGTGCGCTAGATACATTAGAGATTCTATTAATAGATTACACGTCAGTATAGCAGTCTGCATGCTCTCTCTCTCTCCCTCCCTGCAGTGTAGTTATACACTCGTTAGCAATAAGTGCAGAGTCGCAGAGAGCTGACTTTACTCCCTATTACATACTAAACTTGCTCTCAAGTACACATTATTGTAGCAACCTTTCTCCTCATCCCATATCCTGTAGACTGCAGAAAGCTGAGTCTGTGAGTGTAGAGTGCTGAGTGCAGAGTGCAGAGTGCTGAGTGCAGAATGCTGAGTGCAGAGTGCAGAGTGCTGAGTGCTGAGTACAGAGTGCAGAGTGCTGAGTGCTGAGTACAGAGTACAGAGTGCAGAGTGCTGAGTGCTGACTACACGCACTTCTATGCTAAACTTGCACTTCATGTAGCATTTATCTGTTTATCTCATACCGTACGTGGCACTACACTCCTACATCTGTGACAGGGACCAATACAGAACAATACCTAACTACCAACACCAATCTCTTAAAGTGACATCTTCACGTATAATTCACATCAGCCATATCAGTCATCTTTAAGTACAGGATAATCTTCACACGGAACCCGACTAAATGGCCGGGTATATGACCCTCTTAAATGATAACAACAACTTGCACTTTCCAGCACAGTTTATATCCTTATCTCCCGTCTACTAACATGAGTGCTTAATACTACAATTAGTATAGAGTATATATACAGTGTAGAGTGTGTGTGTTTGTAGTTGGGAGAATTTGTGTAAAGTTTAATTTAGTCCTTCAACATACTAACCCCTCATAACTCTATATACTGTTGTATATTAAGATGCAATGAAACTATCGGGCCACGATGCATGGGGACTTGCCACTCCATGGCAACATTAAAATATATTGACTCTGTTACATCGTTTCCTGTCAATATAAAACTCCGTTACAAATTGAACTGGGATCTGGCAATACTACACCTTAGATCAATAAAATATTATAAAGTAATGTGGGTTCTGTTGGGGGCCGGGGTGGGGGTGGGGGAGGTGAGGGGGAGGTGAGGGGGTTCTGTTGGGGGCCGGGGTGGGGGAGGTGTGGGGGAGGTGAGGGGGTTCTGTTGGGGGCCGGGGTGGGGGAGGTGTGGGGGAGGTGAGGGGGAGGTGAGGGGGAGGTGAGGGGCCGGGGTGGGGGAGGTGAGGGGGAGGTGAGGGGGTTCTGTTGGGGGCCGGGGTGGGGGAGGTGTGGGGGAGGTGAGGGGGTTCTGTTGGGGGCCGGGGTGGGGGAGGGGGAGGTGAGCTGTGAGGGATAATGGTTGACACGTGACAGTGATTCTTGGGTTTGATTGGTCAATAGTGGAAGCTGATTATATCTATAATAATGTATAATAATATTGTAGTAATAACCTAAAAAAAACGATAAACTGTACGTGCCCGCTTTAAGTGTTAACTAGGTATTTGCAGTGGTATTTGCAGTGTTTAGTAGGGAGCATCACAGCTCTCAGTAGTCAGCACTGTTGAAAACTCACGCTCGAGATCTAAGAGGTATTAGGACGGCTTGGTCCGTTCTCTGTGTGTGTTGAAATAGTGATGTAATTGTGATGATGTAATTGTGATGACACTACCCTCCACAACATCTTTAGTCCATAACCAATTGAGAGCTGGGCCAGATGGCGACTACATTCACTACCATATTAATGAAGGAGCACATGTTTTAATAGCAAGTGACGTATATTCACTACCATTTGATCACCTATTCTGTTCAGCATTCTTTTTTCAGGTACTGGCCGTTTGAGAGGGGTGGAAACTTCTGGAAAGAAGTATAGTTTTACTGACATGGTTCATTAAAAGTAGATTTCCGATTTCCACCAGATGCAACCACTATCTTAGTCTACTCATCCTTAAAATGAAGTTGCGGCTGGTCATCTAATTAAAATACACATAAAATTGAGAAAAGGGCATGAAATTAAATTACCGAAGACAATTAGCCATGTGGTGAACCATCTGGGAAACCTAATTAAAATACACATAAAATTGAGAAAAGGGCGTGAAATTAAATTCCCGGAGGAACACCTCTCCACAATTAGCCATGTGGTGAACCATCTGGGAAACCTAAGAACTTGTCTAGTCGACTCTTGAAGTTCTTCGTCAGCCAATACCAGTGTGGGAATTGTTGACGCGGAATACTTACACCACTTGATAGTGAGGAGGAATACCGTCAGGAGGAGGAATAAAGGAATAACCACATTAACCAGGAGGAATACCGTCAGATCCACCAATTATAGCCGGGGAAGAGGGACGCATATAAAAGCAAATTGTCCGAATACCTGCATTGCATTGAGTCATTAGCTTATTTAAGTTAATTGTCCAACTATTATGCACAGTTCTGGTGGTTTTTCAGGGTATTGATTTTCATATTTTTGAAAAGAGAGGGGGGAATAAAAAGTTGATTTCATGAATACATTTTTATGTTTACGAGAAAATCTTTGAAATGAGAGCGAATGACTGAACGGAATTTAATTTAACAGACTTTAAGGATTGAAACGAGCTCGCACCCTGTTGTGCGAACCCTAGGGCGAGGAAGGTTTGTGTTCAATAAGTATAAATAGTTAAGAAAATGGGAAATTCTTTCTTTGAGCTGGAAGAGTTTAAGAAATAGATTCCATACTTGGTCCTAAGACCTAAGTTACTTTCGGGTGGCTATCTAGATTCAAAAGTTGGAACTTATTAGTTATATTGCTGTATCACTATGTACTTTAACGAAAAAAAAATCGACTTTTGAAAAATATAAAATACATCAGCACAAAAGCGCAATAGATTGATGGAACAGAGGACATTATAATACATAAATATACATAATTCTACGATAAAAAAGAATAATTTAGATTTTACATAATAAGTACATTAAAAACAGCTATACAACAACTAAGATCACAAATATAAAATCGGTTTTGCCCGTTAACAACCTAACATAAATTAGTGAATATTGCAACATAATCTACATAATATCTTAATATTTACATCTGAACACCATCTATGATATAGATATCATTTTAATTCTAGAGGTTAATTTTGAAATTATCCAAGGAGCGAATAGCACGTTATCGCCATTTACAGTGAATACCCAAGGTTTTATAATGAATGCGGAGATAATCCCTTTCACACTACATGAGTTCACAACCAAAATATATAGGGAGGCCGACAAAAGGGGACCGACGATTATCAGGGCCGGTCAGATCATATCACCAATTACTACTACTTTTTGTACTTGAAAAGGTCTCCTCCTAGTCGTTGGAGTGGCCTGCACCACATAGTAACTCCTTTTACAGTTTTACCGGTGTATTAAACCTCTTTAATGTCATAGCTGTACATTAAGAAGTAAACATGATCTGACTGCTCTTCAAATATATAAGAAAGAATATTAATAGGGATAAAGAGATAAAGCGTATAGCACTTGTCAAAACGGATATTTGATTAGGTTTTTATGTGTATCGAAATAAAAGGTTAAAACCGCCACAATTCTATGACAAGATGATTTAATTCAACATATTCTGTTGAATGTGAATTTCAAGATTAATGTACATTGTACCGAAATAGTTAGCGGCTTTTAGAAAGCGGCTTGTGATAAATTATTGAGAAAAAAGGGCTGCTCCATTAGTTGGGAACCCAGTCCCTGATAATTAATCTATAACTGCTAATTAATTAACAAAACTTAACAAATATTTTACTCTATAGTTAATAGCCCCAGAGGAGAAGTACATGTTTATATTCTTGATTTGTATACAAAATACCTAGACTTCAACAAATATGACTCAATTCTCAATCAGTTTACATGAGCAACCATATCGCAAACTTTATGAAAGTGACTGTTCTCATAAAATCTCGTTACAACCCAGTTTCAGCTTCCAGCAAGCCAACATGCTCGCACTCCACCACTTCATCATTCCACGAATTCTCCAAATTCCTCTCATTCCCATTATCAACAACCCCATTAACCACAGCCCCATTACTTACAGGTACATTATTAATAGTCACAACATTGTTGCTCCCTGCACTCCCTGCACCATTGTGATCAATACCCGAATCCGCGCACGAATCACTGCTAAAGTTGTTTTTATGAAGAAGCAGCTGCTGCGTGTCGTTGTCATGGGGATCAACATCCTGGGAGTTATCCGAGGTATTTGAAGTTATGTCGAGAGTTGTGGAGCTCTGGTCCAGGAGGTTGGAGAGGTGGAGGAGGAGGTTGTTCAGGTTGCTGAGAGGGAGAGAAGTGTTAATTTAGGAAAATAAAGTTCAAACTGTTCCCTGATCTGAACTCTGAATTGCAATGATTTTATTATACATATATAAATAATAATTTTGCAGTAAAATCAAAGCATTCATTATCAAGTCGTTTATGTCATAGAAAAAATATTATGATGGAATATGAGAAAGAATGTCCACACTAACGAGAAATATAAATATTATGAATTTAAACAAGCTCCTTCATAAACCAATCTCTAAATCTAACAAGCAATCACTGACCTAAGCAGGAGATAAGAGAAGAGACGACGCTCCTGACCACGGAGCAACTCATTGAGTCGCGAGTAGGACCACGACACTATCAATCCCTCTGAAATTAGATTACTTATTAGTTGCTAATTATTTGGTGTGTGGTTAATTAATGGGTCGTTATATTCTACCGAGTACAGGAATAATTGCTGTAATTTCTTATTAATTATAGAATACACGCGATGCGGTGAGCTAAATTTTATTGGGCAATCTAATCAGTAATTTTAAAAACTGGTTAATCATTAGCTCTAAAAGAGAATATTCAACACCAAATAGCAGTTTCTCGGTTTCTTATAGCAAAGCATTTGCAAAGTTGAGCGATCGCTTGCCTGGTCTACTGATTAACACACATGCTCTATATTTTACAGATACTTGTTAATTGAAAATACTATCCAGGATGCTGGGATGCATCTTACTTCCAGAGAATGAGATACAATGGTTACCACCCTTATATGGGCACCACGTGAGATACAATGCATTTTACACTGCATGATATATTATATAATATTTGGTGTTACATGGTATTCTTAGAAAAGTGGTCCAGATATTGTAGCATTGTCAGATTTAAGGTCGAATTGGATTTAACAGAATGCTATAAGATGGCTCATGGCCTACTCATTACTGATGTACAGTGTACAATGTATATTGTATGGAGAACACGATTGCTAAATTACTTTCTATACATCTGTATATTTCTACAGAAAAACTGGGTTAGCGGAGACGATATTAATATAGATTTCATGCAGTACAGTTATTCTCGTACAATGTTAGCATTCCACCGTTGTATCACAATTAGCTGATTAGCGGGTACAATTATTCCATTTTCCGCACTGATTATGTGAGTTTATGACCAATTAAAAGAGTAAAGAGCACAGCTTCTCACTGTCGTTCTGTCGTTCTGTCGTTGGCAGATTTTAACGTACAATCTACATGGACAACTATCTTTCAGACATCAATTATAAATGTAATAGATTTGAAGTGTTCAATTAGTTTAAAAACCACCGACTAATTAACATTTAACTTCTTAACTAAAACCAGCGCCTAGAATTGGAAACATGCAGAAACTTGGTAACCAGTTAAAAAAATTAGCATATAATGATTCGTACATTCGCCTTTTTAAATCAACAACTTTTTTAAAACACCGTCGAGATGCAGACATAATAATGTTTTGGCTATGGGGTCATTCATATAATATTACGTAATCAATTTTATGAAAAATGTTTTCCAAACCCAAGGACCCATTATGTTACCGACATATAATTTTCAGTAGTTATACATTTCAGATACGTCATAAGTCTTGAAATTTTTGGTTGCTATCGACATTCACCTTCTAAGCCGGATATTTAAGCCGGATATTGAAGCCGGATATCTGGCTGGAACCGAATTCAGCCTCATATTCGGTCGGTTCAAGTTAAGTTTTATCAATATCAGACTGAACTTTTAATTCAAAAAATAAAAATGTTGATCACGTAATCTGAATCAACAGCACAAATCCTTTGTTTTACTAGCCTGTCACGTGACTAAAACTAGCCTGTCACGTGACTGAAACTGTTTTTGGCAAGTGATTTAATGAGACCGCTTTTTACAATCTCACTCATAAAATATTCAATAGACATGCACTGTACAGTTTAAATTGCATCTGGCAACTCAATAATATGAGTATAATTTATGAAACTGTTAATAACACAAGCACATCCTGGTGGTCACACGATGTGATGGCCCTGTTAAAGCTTAACGTATCTCAATATAGGTGAAACATGTAGCTGCAACAGACCAACCACAGTTTATTAAAACTTTGCTTCATTTTTATCAGCTGACTTTAAACCAAGGAACAAGCGTAATAATGTGAGCCATCGCCCAGCGGAGCCAGACCGGTCGTGTGTAATTTCTCTATAATAAAGAATGAAAGCGTTAGTGTTGGATATTGAATGATATATATATATATATATATGTGTACTTCCCTGGTTATAGAGTTATAGGTATCATGAATATTTGGAATAAAATTATCGATATTTATTCGATTAACTGCTGTGTTTTTACTTGATTTATTTACTAGCAGGAACCTGTGGCCGTATAACTATAACCCTAAAATGGTGTCAAGACTCAAGAGACTAAAATAATTATTACCTATTTAATTCGCGTTTTTGACACCACTTGGGGGTCCAAATTTTGGGCTCTAAAACTCCTATTCCTTGGCCAATTTTTTATTTTTTCATGCTGATTTGGAGGCCATTAAAGCATTTGACCCAGTCAAAAAAGCTTCAGTTGTATATCTTTTACAGTTTTTGCGGAAAGTCGCGTTAAGGTTGATGCCGTGGTGTCAAAAAAATGGTACGCTTAAACACATCCATATAATAATATATCGTCTCGCTTTATATATAGAAAGATTTTATTTTATTTCATATCCGGTTGGAATCTAGGTGAGTGTAAGTATAATATCTTTAATACTAGCTGGTTACCTAGTAACCAGCTAGTAGCCTAGTAACAAGCTAGTAACCTAGTAACAAGCTAGTAACCTAGTAACCAGCTAGTAACCTAGTAACCAGCTAGTAACCTAGTAACCACCAACCTGTAGCCACAGAGTAGTCAGCAACAAGGGTAGTATCAGTCACGTGACTAGAGCTAAAGTTCCAGTTGTTGTGGTTGATAAAGTCTCCTTCTCGTAATCTTACCTTGTGTCCGTTCATTAGTCTTATCGTGATCCTACCTGGAGTGGGTTTATTAGATATTTTGACTAATTAAATTTTGACTGATTTTGCCTAAATGTCACAGTTTTTATGTTTGAGTTAATAAACTATGATGATTATGTATGAATTTTACTTGATAGAGTGCTTATCTTAAAGTTAAATGTTTTTACAGGCTCTAATGATGTTGTTGTACGAGCTACTACAGATCTAATATTTAATATCTAATAGATAGTAGGTCTGTGATGAATTACCTCAATAAAAAAACCGGCGAATGAGTTTCCGTTTTAGATATGAATACCGCTCCAAAAATGTATTCATAAATGACCATCGTTCATCGGGTATACTTGTGAAATTATTGAAATTCATTCTATTCAGTTACTATCGTGTTGATGCCCATAAATTGATTCGCGGAGCCAATCTTTGTGACAAATTGCGGAATTCTTTAGAGCACAGTATTATTCACGAATATACACATAGTTGGCAGTTAGCAGCAAATAGTGCAACACCAGCCACTTTAAAGCCACTTGAGAACCGTTTAAAGATTGTTAGAAGCTGCTTGTGACAGATCAACACAAGCTAAAGACCACTTCATATCGGCTAAGAAACGATGAAATTTTCAATTTTTAAAGATAATTATTCTGGTTTGGGAATAATGCAAGTAGTTTTAGATTCCTACGGTCAGTAAACCTTTTACGAAGCTTGCTTTTGTAAGTATCTCATTATCTAACCATCGGTATTTAGCCACTAATTTGCACCCGCAAGACTATCCGTTACTAATTAGTGCAATTAAATAAATTACTCACGAAAAAATGGAATAATCATTAAATTGACTTTTGGCAAGAATCCAGTTCAAAGAATCAGCATTGTCTTTTCTTTAGACATAAATGTAAATTAATAAAGTGCTTAAAGAACTTACCGGAAATTATTTGCAGGATCTTGTTTGGAATACAGAGTTTTATGAAGGATTCTAGATTCTGTATGAGGTGTAGCAATGACAGTTCCTCCTTCAATGAGCGTGTTGTATGTGCTTACTGAGATGCCACTACTCTTGTAGCATGTGTTATACAGCTTTTCAAATCCTGAAAATGAGGTAAAATGAATCCTCAGTATGATTTTAAAACTATGTTAGAACTAAGTAGTACACACAAGTATTGAAGGGCTCTTCAAAACGTAGGTAATTCTTATTCAATTATATGCAGTGATAAATAACACTTCACCACTAGCTAACCTAATGCTGTGATTGCTTTTATATATTCCACAAATCTTGTACATCTATTTGGATTGTTATTAGCATGATAAAAGCAATATATGTAATTATTGTAAACTGAATTTATTTGTCGTTACAGAATATTCCCTACTGCTCACATGACACACTGTATGAAATTGATATATTGAAAGAACCAGAGGAAATATAGTAACACATAAAATGGTTAAATGACACGAAATCATCCCTGAGCAGTTGGGAATGTGGGGGTATAATGCAACTTACTAGGTTTAATATTGGGTGGGCGATATTCCTTGTAAAGGAGGACAATCAATCTGACGACATTGTAGATACAAAATAGAATGTTCCACATTGCAGTGTCGGGAGAACAGAGCACCCAAACCGCCCACGAGGAGAAGAAAAATGCTGAGGAGGGAGAATTTTTGTTATTTAACACACTTACTAGGTCGCTTCAAGGCAAAAATGAAATTTCAAAAAAATTTAATCTGTATCTCCGAAACGAACCAAATCGTTGCCCGCAACTTTTGTCGCATAGTACCCATGGCCTTCAAGACAATATTTACCACAAGATGCCAGGACTATTCTGAGAAAGACCATATAAGCAAAGGATGATGGGAAATTTATAAAATCTCCGATGTAGAGGACACATAGCCACGAGTTTGCTACCTGTAGGTTGTTGGTTCAAATGAAATGGTGTGAGTTAATAATTGATGTTTAATAAGAAGAGTGCATATAATTAAAAAACATAACAGAGTTTTAGAATACAGTCAATGATAAAATGTCAACTACCTAATCAAAATTGTTTGATTGTTTCATGAAATTTCGATTAAAAACCTGGAAGAGTATGTTATTGTAAGAACCCCATGTGCATGTGAAAGCATTGTACCAAGGGAAGTCGAGAACTCCCATGTCGTAGAGATCCCTTTAATTCCCTCAAGTTTCAGCACTCTTCGTAGATCAAACTGCAACATGTGCTACCTATACTTCATAATGGTAAGAATACAAAAGGACAAGCAATGTAAAAATATATTTAAAACAGTGAAATTATTTTGAGAATTAGTGTACTTTTCTTATTTAAATAAAGTGTAATCGCTGAAAAATCAAAAGCAATGATGATACTGATGATGATACTGTTTACTTGTGCCTGCTCTAACCTGTCTGAGCATTTCCCCAGCCTAAAAATTTTTGTTGCCATAGTTTTTATTTAGGTTCATTGTTGTGTTATACTTTATTATTTGATTGAAGTTTCAAATCAAATCATGGTAAAGTGTGCATCATCAATTAATGTCATTATCAATATTTCCACAAAAATGTATAATAAATTAAGGTCACTCAATTCTTCCTTATATTACATTCGAAACATTCCAAAAACAATATTTATTCACTAGTTAAAAATCCTTCTTAAATCCTTCTAATTTAACTTTTAAATTAAAAAATGTCTCAGAGTTCTTGACGTTCAGAGGGTGTTTGTTCCAATATAACGTTAAGTATAAAGTTTGACATCACATCATCACACATGTCTAAAAAATATCATCGCACTAAGTGAAAAAATATACAGGGGGGGGGGGGGGGGGGCAAAAGTCAGTACCCAAAATAGGGTTGGCCTTAATAGCTCAGTCACTGAGTGCCCAATTGAAATAATTCTTTCTGGTATGACTTACTACCACTGCAGGACCTCTTGGTATTATACAGGGTGGCCCATAAAACACTACCCATCCTTATCTCTTAAAATTGTTACAGGTCGCTGAGATCTTGCAAATTATTTTATTTCAGAATGGAAATGCGCCATAACTTACGTTCTGATTAATATTTTTGCTTCACATTTTTAGAGAATGTCAATCATAATTAGACACAACTTCGTGCCAAATTTTGTGTGAGTCTGAGCTTGTCTGACAAAGTTAGCTCCTGAGCGTGCTAGCTTTAATTTCTCACGTAGAACTGTTTACATTGGTTAATAGGAACCACCAAAAAAAATCCTGGGTAAATCCTGGGTAACGTGAATAAATCGCTGGTTTTTTGATTTTTTTACCCAGGATTTTTTTTGGTGGTTCCTATTAACCAATGTAAACAGTTCTGGGTGAGAAATTCAAGCTAGCTTGCTCAGGGGCTAAATTGGTCAAATAAGCTCAGTGAAGCTCGCACTCACAAAAAACTTGCCACAAAGGTTTAGCTACTTGTTATTAACATTCTGTGAAATTTAGAAGTAAAAATATTTATCAGAACATAAGTTATGCCACTTTTTGTTTTTAAAATAATTTGCAAGATCTCAGCGACCTGTAACAATTTTAAGAGATAAGGATGGGTAGTGTTTTATGGGTCACCCTGTATTATATAATATATTATGAACTAATATGTACATATCCATGTGATATCTAAAAGTGTATAGCGACCATATTTAATAATAATATAGCCTTTCTTGTTTTTAAACAGATCGAGTCACCACATCGCAGCTCACCGGAGTTCACTGTCAGATCTACGTGCAGCCACTACCGCGAGTTGCTGAGTCCTCATCTCCTTGTTTACCGGGAGTTTAATTATTAAGTTTGTATCTTGTTTTAGACAGGTGCATCCGTAGCTCGTCTTACTAAATATGTCAGACCTGTCGCCACTCTCAGCACACATGGGGGGCCGGGGGGGCATGGGGCTGAAACCATGCACGTGACTGATAGGGATTAGTTTGATGAACAAAATCCATATATAACTATTTATAATAGTTATATATAGTTACAGCCAAACGGTGCCCGTGGGGCAGCCACGCCCATATTTTTTCCAAATTAGGCCCAATTTAGCCAAATACCCTGAAAATGCCAAAACCATGCTTTGGGATGCTCTACTTGTAGCTACTAGTCTCCTGAACACACATATTAAGTTTTATCAAAATTGGATAAAAATTGGCCGAGTTATGGGATAAAAACCATATGCGCATATTTGGGCATACGTACCAAATTTGATCGATTTTGGTCCATAAATTGGTCACATATCAATATTTTTGAATATAACCAACTTTATATGGAAGGTAAGCCTATAATACACATTCTCTATGATTATCAGCTCAATATCTACCTAACTGTGGATTCTGTGTTCAAATAATCGCAAAAAATGAACAAAATCACCCATATCTCAGTTTGCGATATTTGCAAAACTGACTTCGCTCAAAACAATAGAACTCAACAGGACAGAATTTTAAGTTAGGCCTCTAAAAAAATTTGGCGGCCAAATTCTGAATTTCGCATTGCGAATTTTGGAATTTGGCCGCCAAATTTTTTTAAAGGCCTAACTCAAAATTCTGTGGTTTTGGGCATTTTCAGGGTATTTGCCTAAATTAGGCCTAATTTGGACCAAATATGGGCGTGGCTGCCCCGCGGGCACCATTTGGCTGTTGGGGTCCGGGACTCCCTCAAAAATTCGGTCACCGGTCCTAGTTTGTTGGTCAATTGCTATCTCGAAACCAAGTTTCACAAAAAAATCATGGTGAACCCCCCCCCCCTTAATGTGGCTCTTGCTATGTGTTGGTTCAGCCGAATTAATTATTTTGTAATTAAGATTATTTTTCTTTTTAGTTAGTTGTCATTCGGCCAAACATTAAGCAACTTATATTGCAGTACCATTTATCAATTAGTATATCTAAATATGTCATTGTAATTTTGCATGGCTGAAATGTAACGCTTGATTTATATATATGATAATTAATTGAATTTTCAAATTAAAAAAAAAGTAAGTGTAAAAGTCGCGTAATTTGACGAAATTCGTTGATTTTTGCTGTACTATATAAGTATATATTCTGTCATATCTCAAATTCCTGATATGGAATCATGCTGAAAATTTGTTAATACCGGCCAGACCTTCCAATTAACGGACTGTCAAAAGTGTCCGAAAAATTTGGTGGATGTCCGAGTTGATATAGTGATGAAAATGGGGCAAAAGACGTTGCTTTGAGCTTTAACATAATGTTTGATAATTGGATATGCCTCAAATTTTTCTGACAGCTTCCTTGTAAGTCTATCAGTAAGCTTTCCAATTTTATTGAAATTGGATTGAGAGAAATTTACTCAATAAGATTTATCGAGCGTGCTAAATCACTCTACAGTCGATCTTCGAGATTGTTCTAAAAGGACCTCCGACAGTTGAAACCAACTTCAATCGATGTATTTTCGGACGCTGATTCCGAATCATGACGACAATTTTGTCGAAGCAGTAACTTAGCCCGGCGAGGCACATAGCACACTCTGCAACTCCGTGTCAAATGTTTCATATATACTAGCCAAGTTCACAAGATATATCCTTGTGTTTGAGAAGCGCTCATTAGAACTGCTTCCGTTCCCTTCAGTATCCCACAGTCTCTCGAGTTTCATAACTGCCAGAGAACTCTCTTAAACAATTACTAGACCCGGTGATTATAAATCAAGAGGCTTGCATATAATGAACATATTGACATGGGTGCAGAGTTGAGCCTGTACGGAACCTAGTAGTTTCAGTTCCTTGTTTAACTTGCCGTACAGCAAGGACATTCACTACTTTAGCCCGGCGAGGCACATAGCTCACTCTGCAACTCTGTGTCAAATGTTTCATATATACTAGCCAAGTTCACAAGATATATCCTTGTATGAAATCTGACCCCTTAAATTATATAGACCCCTTAAATTATATAGACCGGTTTCATTAACTTGTATTCTATGTAAAGTTTATGAGAAGCTAGTGAGAGCACATGTTTTGGATATTCTGGAAGATTGGATTTCCAAGCATCAACACGGATTTGTTAAGGGTAAATCTTGTTTATCAAATCTTTTAGAAACTTTTGACAGCATTCTTGAGTCAATCCAATCTTCCAGAATATCCAAAACATGTGCTCTCTTGACATATTAGATGAAAGGGCCCCTGTTGATCTATTGTATTTTGACTTCAGTAAGGCGTTTGACACAGTCCCCCAGCCCCCAGGCCACTTTGGACTTCTGCCTTAATTGGAAGGATTTGGTGTTAGGGGAAAAGTTGTAGCGCGATGCGTTACTGTGCTGCACCGCGCACTCAATGAGGCTTCTCACAGCTCTCTCTCTCCTCGCTAGATCGGCGAGATGCGCTACTGTGCCGCGCCGAGCTGCGATGAATTGACATCGTCAATTAAGGGGAAAAATATTAGATGTTATAAAGGATTTTCTAACAGATAGGACTATGAGAGTTTCTGTAGAAGCACAATGGATGAGGTAAAACACGTGCTATCTGGTGTCCATCAGGATTCTGTTTTAAATGATTTACCTGATATAGTAAAGAATAAAATAAAATTATTTGCTCATGATGATCTTAAGCTGATTGGTAATGTGGCTAAACATGAAAGTGTTGCTGATGACATTGCAGAATTGGAAGTTTGGGAGAGTACTTGGCTTTTAAAGTTCAATCCTGCCAAATGTAAAGTAGTTCATGTTAATCTTAATAGTAATCCTAACTTGAATTATTTTGTTAATGATGTAGAACTTGAAGCATCTGCTCAGGAAAAGGACTTGGGGGTTATTACCCATAACTCCTTACTTTTGAATGAGCAGATAAAAGCATGCATTTCTAAAGCAAATCGTATGATTAATGATATGTTGGATTATAAGGAATTTAGTAATAAGGGAAAAAGGAGTAATGATAACCATCTATAAAGCTTTAATAAGATCGAGGCCTCATCTAGAGTATTGTGTACGTGTCCAATTGTGGAATCCAGTTGCGGCTCATGGAAGTTGGGGGATTGTTTTGGAGCTGGAGAGCGTCCAGAGGCGGTTTACCCGTTTTATTAATGAGGTGGGTACTCTTCCTTACAGTGCAGCAGTAGACTGGAAATTCTCAATTTGACAACTCGTACAGCGACTAGATCGGCGACGCGAAATGCGCTACTGTGCCGCGCCGAGCTGCCATGAATTGACATCGTCAATTAACCAACAGATTCACATAGCCATGTGTATACGCGTACTGCGTGACGCGCTTGTTTCACAAGTTGAATATATCC